TTAATGTTTGGTTATTTTTGAGGCAGAGACAGAGCATGAGCACGGGAAGGGCAGAGAGACAGGGAGACACAGAATCCAAAGCAGGCTCTAGGCTCTGAGTTGTCAGCACAGAGCCCGACGCAGGGCTCGAATCCATGAACCGTGAAATTGTGACCCAAACCAAAGTCAGATGCCCAACCGACTGAGCCACCCAGGCACCCCTCTCTAGCTCCATTTATTGAGCAAACCCTATGTCTTGTAGCCCCTGTGCCTGTATCTGTGCAGGGCTGATCATTTACCTCACGCCTGTAGGTCCAGGCCTCAGGCACACTGCCCTCAGGCTGGTGCTTTCCGGCTTTGCTCGTGGTGAGCCATGTACCAGGAATGTCACTGCAGAGACATCTACCTCCAGCTGTGTCCCTGACAAAGCCACAACCTGGATAAAAAGGAGGCAACAGCCCTTAAGGTGTTTAATGGACTGAAGGTCTCTTCAGCAACAAGACAGCTTATACCTGGGAGAGGAGTGTTGCCTTCATGAGGAGGGGCGGTGGCCAGCACTTGAGAAATTTTCCCAAGGGGGGGAAGAAAAATGGAACCCTCAGAGGGTCCCCTCCCACCTCAAGCCAACTTTAGACCCTTTGCCAATATCTGGGAGCCAGATGTCACATCTACCAAAGGGATACCCACCCCCCTGTCTCTGACCTCTTCTCTCCGTGTGCATCTTGTTTGGGTGAGCAAAACAAGAAAAGGCCTCTAGGGGGTGGGTGGATGATTGGCCTCTTTGCCTGAGAAAAGGCCAAGAGGTCCAATGCCTCCATGAACATTAGGTAGGGAAGCTGTAGTAACCATTCCCAGTCCACACATTCAGAGACCCCAGTTTTATGGCCGCTTAATTACTGTATCAGGCATCGGGCCTAATGATAATCATCAGGTTTTTCTGGAAGAGGAAGAAGGGCACTTGGTACATGGAAACCCCACATCATGTGTGATTTGGGAGATTAACTATGGAGGACAGAGCTTAGCAAGAATGGGAGCATCCACTCCCTTCTTTTTCTGGGCCCAGGCAAGAGCAATTGCACTTTGCAGTAGATGTGCTTCTCTTGTGGCTGCTCAAATTAGTTGATGGGTTTTCTGGTACGAGTTCTTCCTTGTATTTATTAGAGAAATGAGACTCTTAAGCCTTATGTGTTGTCAAGTTGGGTGGTTCGAGGTGACTGTTAAAAGCCTGCCATCTGAGTTTCTCTTCATCTTTCTATACGGTCTTCATCATTGTGACCGAGAATCATGCTGGAAGTAGAAACGTCTTGTTTCCCCAGAGCTGTTTTGAGGTATATTTTGTGAAGGTAGCTAGTGCTAAAAAGAAATCATTAATAGAACGAAAGCCTGAATGGCGTTAAAAATGGTATAAAATATGCAGAACTTGTCTCATCTTTTGCAAGGTTGTTTCTGCCTCCTCATGACAGGTACTGATGGTCCCGACTTGAGGGAAATGTGAATGAATTAGCATCATACCTTTATTTGTTCATATATTTATGTTTGTCTCTTTGGAAAGCTGGACATAATCTTTGAAGGTTATTTTCTAATAAAAACATAGCAACAGAGCAAGCCTTCCCTGAGGATTATCATAAACATAGGAAAAATAGCAGTTCATAACTAAAAATTGCGGAAGTCCTACGACAGCGTTCTTTCACGTCTGCTGTGGACATTTGTAGTTTTCTTGGGCCTGCAGCTGAGAATAAGTTCATCTCTCATATCGTTAGCCCTAATTCTTCCTCCAAAGCAGACTGAGAAGAAATCTGGACTAACACGAGGCCCAAGTGTGGAAGATTATACACCAGTGAGAGGCCCAGGAGCCACAAGACTGAGGCCAGTGCTGGTGGAGAACCCAGCAAGGAATAAAGGAAAATGGAGACACACAAACAGGGAAGTTAGCATTCATGTCAGATACTAAATTGGCTCCTTGAGGGTGATGAATAAAGAAACAGTTAAAAAACTAGAGATTTTCACATGAACACACAGCATTCTGTTCTCCTCTTCGTTTCTGGTCTTCATGGGGTGGCTACAGCATCTCCATTCTGAAAAGAAAGTTAACTTAAAACTATAACAGGAGATGGGGCGCCTGGATGGCTCAGTCACTTAAGCGTCCAACTCTTGATTTTGGCTCAGGTCACGATCTCATGGTTTGTGGGATCAAGCCCCGCCTCAGACTCTGTGCTGACAGCACGGTGCCTGCTTCGGATTCTTCTCTGTCCGTCTCTGCTCCTCCCCTGCTTGTGCTCTCTCTCTCTCAAAATAATTAAACTTGAAAACAATTTAAAAAATACAAATAAATTTTAAAAACTGTAACAGGAGATCTTGAGATAGTCCCCTTGGATCTCTTGTAAAGTTGACGTCTTGTTTTAATTGTTGAAAGAGAACTAGTAAGATTCCTGAAAGCTGAAGAAAGGCCAGATAATTGTCTAATTTTTACAAAAAGAGAAAGAAGTAGAAATAAAGGCTTGGAGACAGTGTCCAGCGATTTACAGAAATAAACTGAGGTCACTTTCAGCTGGTCAGGGAGCTTCTTTAGTGAGCTGCTGCTTTTCTTAAATTAAGGCGCATCAAAATGTGGGGAAAGTTATGCTGCTTCAGTCTTGTTCGATTTAAATATGTTAGGGCCAAGGATTCTTAACTTTAATGGCTGGTTTGTATATTTCAGTTTTTACTTTTGAAAGGGCTTAAAAATACAGAAAACCATATCGACATCCATGTGCCCACCCTCTATAATTAACTAACTTTTTTAATGCTTTGTCCTATTTGGTTTAGATCCCTACTTTAAAAAATATATATCAATAATTTTTTATCCGTTATCAATCCCATTCTCCGTTTTTCTCTAGGCACAAATAACTATCATGATTTTAGCATTCTTAGACCCCTTGGAGCTGAAAGTCCATCTCCTGCCTCCCACTACCAGCATCAGAGAAACCGCAGCACATTACACGCACAAAATTGTTCCTTAAACTGTTAAGAGGGTCCCCAGACCCAAATGCCCAGCTGGATTCTTTGGGAATTTAGAAACTCCAAATCAAGAACCCCTGCTTGGGGAATCCTTTCCTTTGGAGAATCTAGTTAGCAATTAACAAATAATGGGATCCAGTTTAGGCAGAGCCCTGTCCCTGCTGTCCAGGGAGCTGCTCTGTGAAGC